AATAAATTAAAAATATATTTAAATTTATATTCAACACATTCTCAATTTTACTTAATAAATACATAGATCACATTTGAAAACTTCATTACTGAAATAATTTCAAAATTATTAACTGTTTTTTTTTTCAAAGCCCAGTTTTTCTTATCAGTTTAAAAAAAAACAATTAAGGTAAATTAAGGCGGTGCCTTTTTAAAATTTCAACTTTTTTATATATTAGATTTTTATTAAAAAATTTCTAAAATTAGATAAGAAAATGGAGATTTACTTGTATTTTTAATAAATTTAAGATAATACTGATTTTTATTTTTATTTTTAAATATTTATTTTTATTTTTAAAAACAAAGAAACTATAATTTTAGTTTCTAAATACTAAATTTAAAGAATTAAATTTATTATTATTTAATCTCTTAATTTTGGTATTAAAAATTTAAATTATATTTTATTAAATTAAAATAATTACAATATATTTTTTTACTTTGAGAATTAAAAATTTAATTAAACTAAAACTGAAAATATTATAATACTTTTTCAACTATTTTTTATAATATTTTTATCATTATTATATTTTTGAATTAAATGTTTTTTCCTATTTTTTTATAAAGTCAATTTTAATATTTAAAAATATTTAACATTTTGAATTCTGAAAGTTTTTCTCTATTAACAAATTTAAAAACATAATATACTAAAAAATATTATACATAATTATTTCATCCAAATTTTTTAATAATATAATAAGTTATCAAATTCATTTTTTCTTCTTTCATGTCTTTCGTTTTCGATATGAGTGCTTGAATTTATAAAAAAAATTATCTACAAAATTCACTTCTCTACTTTCTATCTTCACATTTTTTTTAACTATTTTTTTATAGTTATGAAGGTCAAGATTGGTACAAACACTTAAATATATTATAAATGAATAATATTTGTTCATTTTAGTTTTTTTTTCAACCTATAATTTTATTATTTTTATTTTAAAATATATTTATATTTTTTTAAATTAATAATTTTAATCTAGTCATCTAAATCCTTGATGTGATTATTCTAATTAATTAATATTATCAAATGATTTTATTTTATTTGTTATAGTAAATGTTAAAATAATATTAATTACTTTAAATTATAAGAAAATAAATAATAAAAATAAAAAATAAATTTAAAGTTAAAAAATACGTAAAAATAAAATATAACAAAAAATTTAAATACTTGTCTTAAATAATATAAAACAAATTTAATGATTGATTAAAATAGAACAACATTTATAAGAGATTATTTATTTTTATTTATGATGGATCAAAAGTGGAAATACATTTAAATTTATAATTTTATTTATGAAACACATTTAAATTTATAATTAACGAAAATAATGAAAATCTTAATATAATATGATACTTTTAGTAATGTATTTTTTTATAAATTTAAACTTAATTTTTTTAGTTTAGCTTTTAAATTTTATGTATTATTATTGTTAATTGATATACTAGAAAAAATTTATATAAAAATAGTCTTTATCTTCAAAATTCACTTCTTCAAATACTATCTTTATATTTTTCTACTGTTTCTTTATAGTTATGAAGGTCAATATTTGTGCATACACTTAAATATAATATAAAGTAAAAAAGTATTTGTTTATTCTATTTTATTTCCAATCTATAATTTGAGTTTTTTTAAAATATATTTTATATTTTTAAAATTAATAATTTTAATGTAGTTTTGTAAGTTTTTTATGTGATGATTTTAATTAATTGATATTATCGAACTATTTAATTTGATTTATTATAGTAAAAATCATAAAAATAAATGTTAAAATAATATTAATTATTTTAAATTATAAGAAAATAAATAATAAAAATAGATATTAAAGTATTCTATAAAAGAAGACTAATTATTATAAAGATAAAATAGAATATGGGAGGAAATGAGGATGATAATATAGTAAAAATGATAGAGTTTAAAAACAATGTAGAATGTGAGAAATTTCAAAAGAAAAAAAAGTTAAAAAAGGATATATATAAGTAATTAAATTAAATTTATTATCCCCTCATATATTATTATACATTATTAGCGTAATTTTAGTTTAATTAAAAATTAGAATACAAATATACTATACTATACTAATATACTATTATATTATAATATTTATAATTTATTTTCATTATGTATAAATTTATATTTTAAACTTTTTCTTAAATATATAAATATTTAAATATATAAAGATATAAATGTATAAAGATATAAATACATAATAAAGATATAAATATATAAAGATATAAATATATAAAGATATAAATACATAAAGATATAAATATATAAAGATACAAATATATAAAGATATAAATATATAAAAATATAAATTTATAAATATATAAATATGTAAAGATATAAATATATGTCTTTAATATTTTGTACATGTAAATATAATTTATATATATTTTTAAACCTTTTTCTAATATTTGTTTTTAAAAATAAAATATTATTTTAAAATTTAATATTTAAATTTTTAATTTTTTCTTAAATATATAAATGTATAAAGATATAAATGTATAAAGATATAAATAAATATATAAATATATAAATATATAAATATATAAATACATAAATATATAAATATATAAATACATAAATATATAAATATATAAACATATCAATATATTAACATATCAATATATAAACATATCAATATATCAACATATCAATATATCAACATATCAATATATCAACATATAAATATATAAATATATTAATATATAAATATATTAATATATAAATATATAAATATATCAATATTTAAATATATATTAAAATATATAAATATATTTGTATTTATAGATTTTATATTTATATATTTATATGGATATACATTTATTTGTATATAAATATAATTTATTTGTAAGTTATTGTTGAAAAATCCTAGTAGTTTAGTGGTTGGAGTTTCAGCTTCCAATTCTACTGATCTTGGGTTCGAATCTTGACGATGAATTTAAATGAGTCGCGGTCGCTAACTCGATTAGCGATCGATTTTTTGATCGCTAAAATGTTTTTTTCTTATAGTGCATATTGAATATGTAAGGGACATGTTCTCCGAAATTGTTTCCCCAACTAGATTTTGAAGATGATCTATGTAACCATAGAATGAAATAGGTTGAAAAGTATATTATTTTATACATCTTATAATATTTTTATTCATTTCTTTACAAAATTATTTTTTTATCTTAGGTGGTCTCGACTTGGGCAGAGGTCAAATACCCATGCATACATCGTACATGTAGTACGATACATGTTGGATCAACTATCACACATTTTACTTTAATCTGCAATTTATATGAACTCCTTAATGTAGAAGTGCTCTATAATGGTTGATAAATGTTAAAGTTTCTCTTGCTTCACATTGTCATACCTCTCATTTATTTTGCAACTGTTGAGTTTCATCATGTTGGTCGAGTCATGAGATAGTTTGGTCTACAACAAAATATTTCTAATAATCCAATGAACCTAGATAAGCTTCATAAAATAGATATATATGAGGGGCAAAACAAACACATTTTGCCCACAGTATCATCCACAGTGGATTGCATTATGGACGATGAAGTAAGTATGAAATATTATTTCAATTAGTTATATTTTATCTACAAATATTAATTTTATATACACCACGTAAGGAGCAATAACACCAAGCACCTCAACCAACTTATTCACATGTTAGTCAATCTAGTTACATCATCAGTCAAGTTATCAACAAGTTTGTCCATTTAGTTATCAACAGTCTAGTTCGTCAACTTATTAACAAGTTGGCTACCTTCCAACTTGTTCCATTCTATGGTTATCTAGATCATTTTCAAAATCTAATTAGGGAAACAATTTTGGAAAATATGTCTCTTACACATTTAATATGATGCCTTTTGGATCATATTTTTATCCCCTCCTCTATGACACCAAACATATTACAAGTTAGATCTATGAATTTTTATCGGCCAACAATACCTACACCTCAAAATCCAAGTCAAGAACAATAACAAGATGATAATGATTGTTCCTCAATAAAACGAAAGATCTAGACAAAATAAAATAAAAAACTACATTATAAAACATACTCCCAACATTAGATTATTTTTGTGTTACTTTTTTTCATCATGTAATTATTTCTATTAATATTAATATATATCATTTTATTAATTACTCTTACATTTTTAATTTTTTTAGTTAAAATATGATAAATAAATAAAATATTACAAAGTAATATTATGTTATAATTAAATTAAAAAATATATATAAAAAATAAAAATACTACAAAACGCGAATAAAAAAATGAAAAATTCAAAGTGGTCCTAGATGACACAACTTTAAAATTAAAAATAAAATAAAAATCATACTATATATACAAATTTATCCTTCCTAGCACCGCTACCCTGTAAAATTGAAAAAAAATTGCACCAATTAATATTCTATTTAAATTACACTAAATTCGTAAATATCCCGGGTAAACACCACTGTAAGATCCAACCTGTAAAGTGAATCACCCCATGAAATTTTTAATTATTTTTTCAGTAAAAAATGGTAAGGTTGTGAGGACAAAAGACAAATTCCTTGAACATATCAATATTTTCATGGCTTCACCCTCTGATCACCTTTGATGGTCCTCACGATGCTGAGACCACTTGAGGCATTCATTATCGAGACCTAACAAAGCCAAGGAAGAGAATTAACTGAACCTGATCTAATGGAAACCCCACATGGATTCCCTGATCCAAATAATACCTATAAATTATATTAATTAAATTTAAAGTTTTAAATTTGTTTTTTAATTATATTATTAACTTTTAAAATGATTTGTAACTCTACCTCAACAAAGCACATGCTGTCCCTCTCATAACAAAATAATTAAATAATTATTTTGTGATTTCAGAAATTTATATGAATTTGAATTAAGAATTCATCAAAAGCACACTATATTATGCGTAAACAACTGATAGATTTGTCATTTGTTTGAACTTTAAAGCTCGGAATTATAATAAATCTTGTAGTTGTTGACAGAAACTATCAACGCATGCTGACTCTAATTTGTCGCTTATTAAGAAGTTCCGCAGTTTGGTATGATTTTCTCTCACTTCTCTTCCAACCTCATTCTCATCGTCCATCACAGTTTTCACTACTTTGCACACACTTTCTTTGGTGAAGAAACCGTCTTCTTCACCTTTCTCTACTTCCACCCCAACCTTTAACTTTCTGCTAAGCATTCTCGCATTGATGATAAGATCACCCCCGAGTCCTGGCAGCAGCACCAACTGACACCTATTCACAAGTGCCTCTGTTACTGAAGAAGCTCCACAGTGTGTTATGAAGCAACCGATTGAAGGGTGTCCCAGTATCAGTTGTTGTGGCACCCAACCTCCATATGCAATCCCTCTTCCTTCAACCCTTTCTCTGAACCCTTCTGGCAAAGCTTCCTCACTAGACTCAAATCCATCAGGGGGCTTAAATGCTGCAAGAAATGGGAAACCTGTTAGTTCAAGACCAAGCAACAACTCTTGAAACTGATTTTGTGGTAACGGGCTTTCGCTTCCATATGTACAGAAAACAACAGAACCAGGGTTGAATCCCCCGAGCCATGCAACCCATTTTTCCTCCAGAGTAGAGTTTGGTGGCTCAGGTAAAAGAGGCCCTGAAAGCAAAACAGGCTTCCCATACACAGTTTCAAGATACTCCGCATATGGCCCGTCAATTTCTCTGCAACCTTTGAATCCAATTGCATCGGCTGAGCTAAGACTATGTTGCAACCGATCGTACAGAAGAACACCACTTCCAAATTCGAGTTTCCTCGTTGCAACGAGGAACCGAAGCTCATGTAGCTGAAACTTGAATGACGAATCAGGAAACCCTTTAGGTGGTTCCATTAGATCAAGTTCAGTTAATTCTCTTCCTTGGTCTTGTCTTGGCCCTTTCCCGAGGTATGCTGTTGATAGAGGATAAACTATGAAGTACATGACACTCCTGATGCCTAGGCTTCGAGTCAAATTGGGTAGCCAATGTTGGAAATCGAAGAAAACAATTTGTGGCTTCAGATTCCTGAGGAGCAGTTCGATGTCCTTCTGTGTGTGATCCATAGCGGTGGCAATAAGAGGGAACAGAGAGAAAGGGACGTCGGAAGTGGTCTCAGCATGGCGAGGAAGGCCATGAACATGAGGAACTTTGATAGGAATAAAGGTGATGAGATGAGGGTGAAGATTGAGGTGTTGAAGTTTGGTTTGTGTTCTTTGTGGGACTATAAAGGAGATTCTGTGGCCTCTCTTTGCTAACTTGTTGGCGAGGTGAAGATTCGGGGTCAGGTGGCCCATAGCAAACCATGGGAATATTGCTATGTGGAGAGGAGCTGCACTTGCGGCATCCATGGCTGCTTGAGTTATTTGCTGTTGTGTTTCTGAAGAAAGAAGAAGAATGTAATAGTTATGAGTGCGAGGCACCGCCGTGCAGCTTCCACATAGCAATGCCATTTGTCAAAGTTACGTAGTCGATATGGCCAGTGTAGACTACATCATTACTGTTTCATTTCACGGTTGTATACACAAGGAAATTTAGAAAGGGGTATCAATTACTTCTTCCAGTTTTTATAAAATTCAATTGATTAATTTTCAAAAAATAATTAATTAATTCCATTCACAGCATTAAATTTATACTTTCTTCCAAAGACACGCTTATTTTTTTAGAAAATACTTTTATTATTAATTGTATTTTAATTTCTTTCCTCCCTAATATATTCAGTACATTAATACGTGGAAAAAATATTAAAATATTAAAATGGTAAAATTTATTTTTAAAATTTTTCAAAATAGATATTTCTTTTTTAAATATTGTAAACGGATAAATGGAATTTCAAAATATAACCATTTTAAAAAATGATTTTATTTTTTAAATTTAATATTAAAATCATATTTTAATATACCATTTCAATAAATAAAAATAAACTAAGAGAATATTAAGTTATTTTTTGTTTATTAAATTAAAAAATAAATCATAATTATTTATTTTATATAAAGCTAATTAATAAAAAAAATGATGAAATTATTAAAACCTAATCAAAATTATTAGTTAGCGATCGAAATTAATATATTAAATTAATTGGTTGCTAAATAACTCCTCAGTTTGACTTATTCTTTAAATGATTATTGTCATTATCAGGCTTCGAACCCGATACCTTAGAGTTGAAGGCTGAAACTCTAACCACTAAGCTACTAGAATTTTTCAATAATAACTTACAAATAAATTATATTTATATAAAAATAAATATATATATTTGTATAAATATATAAATATAAAATCTATAAATACAAATATATTTATATATTTAAATATTTATATATTTAAATATTGATATATTTAAATATTTATATATTTATATATTTATATATTTATATATTTATATATCTACATATTTATATATTTTGTAATAATTAATCCTTCTTGAATACAATTTACATATGCTTCAGAATCATCTAAAGCTATGGTTTTTAATTTTTCTTCTTTTATAATCAAGGTAACTTCTACATGCCACAATGATTAACAAATGCTCCAAGTGAATTCCAAAATATAATGAATGACATTTTTATTCCTTATATAAAATTTTCAATAGTTTATTTAGATGATGTATTAATTTTTTCAAAAAATATTACAGAACACATTAATCATCTAGAAATATTTATAAAAGTAATGAAAGAAAATGGATTAGTTGTGTCAGCTAAGAAGATGAAAATATTTCAAACAAAAATATGATTCTTAGGTTATGAAATTTATCAAAATACAATAATTCCTATCCGGAGAACCTTAGAATTTATCACAAAATTTCCTAATGAAATTAAAGATAAACAACAACTGTAAAGATTTTTAGGATGTGTAAATTATATAGCAGATTTTATTCCAAATATTAGGATAATATGCGCTCCATTATTTAGAAGACTTAGAAAAAATCCACCTTTGTGGAATGAAGACATGACACAAGCTATAATTAAAATTAAAGAATTAGTTAGAAAAATTCCTTGTCTAGGTATTCCAGATCCTGAAGCATTCTTAATAGTGGAAACTGATGCATCAGAATTAGGATATGGGGGAATTTTAAAACAAAAAGTTCAAGAGTCTTCTAAAGAACAAGTCGTCAGATATCATTCGGGTATCTGACATCCATTACAGTAAAAATATTCTATTGTCAAAAAAGATATTTTATCAATTGTTTTATGTTTGCAAAAATTTCGAGATGATGTCTTCAATAAAAAGTTTTTAATTAGAACAGATTGTAAAGCAACACCAAGTGTTTTAACAAAAGATGTTCAAAACTTGGTTTCTAAACATATCTTTGCAAGATGACAGACTTTATTATCTTGTTTTGATTTTGAGATAGAACATATAAAAGGAAAAGATAATTTTTTACCAGAGAATTTTTACAGGATAAAAGATTATGAGTGAAAAACCACTGAGAAGAATATGGTCCCCCACTGAGACCTTCAAATACAGGTATGTCAATATCTTTAAGACCACAGAGTCCAAAAGTTAAGGCCACCTTAGCAGAAATTTTAAAAACTCCACCGTCAATATTAAAAAATCTTTTAGCCAATACTTCAAATCGATTTACTCCTTTACATTATTCTCATACCCTAATAAGTCCAAAAGACCTTATTACCTCTTCCTCTTCATCTTATCAACCTGCACAAAATCCTCAAACAGTAAACCTTCAAGAAGGTTATTATCTTAAACCAGAAACACTGTCAATAGTAACCCTAGATGACGACACTCGAATAGAAGGGAAACAATTTAGGGTTAGGTTTTAAGAATTGATTTGATTGGAAATAAAAAACAGAAAAAATAAAAGATACCGTAGGTGCCACAAATAAGAATATTTGATAAGCCAAGAAGGATCGCCACAAGAATCGAATAATTCTTGATAAGATCAAGTGATGCAAGGAAGAACCCTAGCAGAGCAATAACTCACAAAGTGATTCTGAATATTACGTCCGTTCATTCTGAATTCCCAAATGTTTAATACAACTTAAGTTTATGAGTTTGTCTCATTGCAGGAAATAAAGATAAATTAAAATCCTAATATCCCAAGCAAAGTTAAGTTACCCAGATGGTTCAGTGAAGGCATTATAAGCTTTGGGTCTTGGGTTCAAATCCCCACTGTAGCAAATAAAATAATAATAATAATAACTAAATCTTTTAGTTCACTACAAGAAAAACATCAAATAGTGACCGAAAATTCGGTCACTAAATCTGCAAAATCGGTTACTAATTAAAATAGTGACCGAAATAGTGACCAACTGGAATCGGTCACTATTTCCTTGGTCACCGATTTTAGTGACCGAATTAGTGACCGAATCGATGATCGAATCGGTGACCGATTATATATAACCAAATCGGTCATTGAATCGATCACTAAAATTTAATCCTTTTTATTTATTTACACTTTTATTATATCTATTATTTATTTTCCCTATCTCTTAATTATATTATATTTTGCTTATTTAAGTTTTTATTTATATTTATTTCCCCTATCTCTTAATTTTATTATATTTTTTAGAAGTTTAACTTATTATTAGGTGGTTTATTGTCATTGTCAAGATTCGAACCGGTACCTTAGAGTTGGAGGCTGAAACTCCAACCACTGAGCTACTAGGATCTTTTAATAATAACTTACAAATAAATTATATTTATATACAAATAAATGTATATCCGTATAAATATATAAATATAAAATCTATAAATAAAAATATATTTATATATTTTAATATATAAAATCTACAAATAATTGTATATTAGTATAGTATAGTATATTTGTATTCTAATTTTTAATTAAATTAAAATTATGCTAATAATGTATATTAATATATGAGGGGATAATATTGATATATTTATGTATATATATATATATATATTTATATATATTTATATATTGATATATTTATATTTTTATATTTTGATATATTTATATATTGATATATTTATATATTTATTTATATCCTTATACATTTATATCTTTATATATTTATATATTTGAAAAAAAATATTAAATTTTAAAAATAATATTATATTTTTAAAAATAAATATTAGAAAAAGATTTAAAAATATATATAAATTATATTTACATTTACAAAATATTAAAGATATATGTTTATATCTTTACATATTTATATATATTTATATGTTTATATTTTTACATATATTTATATCTTTCCATATTTATATATTTATATATAAAGATATTAGTTTTGTATACAAATAATATTATAATATAGTATATTATACTATTAGTATAGTATACAAATAATATGTTAGTATAGTATAGTATACAAATTATTAATTTTGTAATTTATATACAATGAAAATAATATAATGGTATATTGGTATAGTATATTTGTATTCTAATTTTTAAATAAACTAAAATTACGCTAAATGTATAATAATATATGAGAGGATAATAAATTTAATCCAATTACTTTTATAAATATATAAATATAAAATCTATAAAATATTAAAAATGATATTATATTTTTAAAAACAAATATTAGAAAAAGGTTTAAAAACTAGTATTATCTTAAATTTATTAAAAGTATAATTAAATCTCTATTTTCTTAATTTTTTTTTAAACTTCTCAATTCTACATTTTTGTAAGTTCTATCATTATATTATATCATCCTCATCTCCTCCCATGTTCTACTTTATCTTTACAACAGATCAATATTCTTAACTAATTTATAGTTTTAATTATAATTTTTTAGTATATATTTCAAAAATTAATCACTTCTAATCTATTATTTGAAAAACTAATAAATTCTAATCAATAATTTAGAAAACTAATCGATTATAATTAATTATTTGAAAAAATTATCAAATATGATCGATCATTTCAAAAATATAATCGATCAGAATCAATTATCGCTCGAGCGAGACTAGACTCGCTCAAGCGAAATACAACATGAGAGTACCAATTTTGTGCAGGGCGTTTCGCTCGAGCGAGAAAGTTGTCGCTCAAGCGAGATACTGATTTAGATAGCGGTTACACAGGAACCGCTCTTAAAAGCTCACTTAGATAGCGGTTAACCGTTGAACCGCTATTATATGGTTTCCATTATGATCGGTCGGAATGCAATTATGACCGATCATAACTGTTTTAATCGATTAAAATCTAGTTTCAATCGATTAAAACAATTTACTGCAAGCGTTTTAATCGATTAAAACTTATTTTTATCGGTTAAAATAACTTGAAAACTTATATTAACTATTTTTTTTATATTATGTTTTTAAATTTTCTATTAGAGAAAACCTTTCGGAATTCAAAATGTTAAATACTTTTAAATATAAAAATTAACTTTATCAAAAATTAGGAAAAAAAAATAATCCAAAAGAGTTCAAAAATGTATTATAATATTGTCAATTTTGAGTTTAATTATATGGTTCATTCTCAAAGTAGAAAAATATAATTTAAAATTTTAATACTAAAATTAAA